CGTTATATCGTGGCATTGCGGGAGAGATGGTGGTGGGTTTGGAAGGCTTTCATCCAGCAGTGCATTTACCATGGTTGATGATGACGATACTATACTGTAGAGTAAGGGTAGAACAATGATTCACGAACTGCGCTATGAACCTTCGAATCGGAGTCAGATTCCCGGCCATGAATAACAGGTTAACAAGGTGGTAGAGATAACAGTTTAATAAGGAGGTAAAGTATGGTCAAACCGATCCTCATGACTGACATAGGGTGGAGAAGCTTTCATCCAACAGTAGATTGACAGATCCTTAAAAAAGGTATACCACAATACAAGGACACTCAATATGTACATTTGTAAATAACTCATTAAAATGACGCCATTTACACAATAGAATATCTGCATATAGAATGTTATGGGTTTTATTTTTAAAAGTCTTTCTTTACACATTATAATTACGCCCCACTGTTCGGCAAATAATAAGTACTGCTGATGATCAGAGATTAGCCTAAAGCAGTGCCTGGCCCAAATTGAATGAGCCCTTGAGATCACAGAGAAAGCGAAACACTCCACTGAATACATAGAGGTGGGAGGCATTTCCCAAGCAATGTCAGAAACATAGTAATTCACAGTATTAATTCGTACCGACCGTGTATATATTGATATATTTAATTTAAAAATAACAAAAACACATGCGTGTTATATTTTAGATTTTGGCATTTAAATGTATCATGTTTCACATAGCATGGACATACATTATATATGTACACATTTATCATATTCAGTATCTGTTATGTACGTTATCTTTGGTATGGCTTTTGGTCAATTCTCAAAGCTAAGCAAATCGCTTTATTACCATCAAGAATACAATGCACTGTTTCCATACAATTTCCATGCGATTGATAGACTGATAGACATACATAGATCTAATGATAAACATATGTACAAAGCCTCATCTTTATATAATGCTGTATTCATAGAACAGTCATTGGGCCTTACTATGTGGAATAATCAATTCAGAAATGTTCACGTGTTTTGTTTTTAATCCGTTACCAAACGAGTGTGTCCACCTCACACTGTCTGTGTATATCAATATAAATGTACATTTGCTGTGTACGTGCCTTACCTGGTAAAATAATATAAATAGGTGATGGTTTAATCGTTTTTAAAAGCTCCATCTTCATGCTCCTACTCTTTTCAAAATATTTCCTCCCACTTGGCAAAGCCATCGCGAGTTTTGACATTTGATCATTGTTCCTTTGCTGATGACAACCAGTTCGACATTGACACAGACTTCACAATCCCAACTTCGCTGTCCACTCTCACATTCTACCTCTCAGCACAATTCTCAACTTTTATTCGTTCTAACTTCGTCCAGATGTTCGTTCGCACTTTCATTTCTCAATCCGCTTGTCCTAGTGAGGGTCACGACTTCCTCCAGATGTTTTTTTTGGCCAAATAGGGCTCTCTTAGTTAAGAATCCGGTGGCAAAGATAGACAGAGGGACATGAACATGACAGAGAGACGGACACGGAGAGAGAAATACCAATAATTGTGAGGGCCTCTGAATAAGTGGAGCTCTGTTCACGTGCACACATTGTACGTGCGTAGGAGAGCACTCACTATATGTACACCACACTGGTTTTCCAAATGAAATTCACAAGACACCATAACGTACTGTGGTTTCGCTCTGCAAGATCGGTTTCCGTGGCCGACACACCGTTCCATCAATACATTGTGCTGCACTCTCATTATTTACTCAGTGTGAAGGGGTCAATAGGCACGGTTGAAAAAAAGGTTTTCCACCCACCTGAACTGAACGACTGTGTGTACATGTACATCCACTTTGTCAATCTACTGCTGGATAAGGCTACCTCGTGTCGTTTGGGGGGGGGGGGTGTATTGTTCGTTGGGGGATGTTTGACCGACGTTTCAGCGACCATACTTCACCACTCTGGTCATTTCCGGTTCGTGTTGGCAGATAGTATGTACGTATAGTTAAACAGCGAATCTTGCTTGCACCATCCTCTGCTGCTGCTGACACAAATCCCAAATGTACATGAAATATTGCTCCAACTAAAATCGCAAGTTATTCACGCACGTGTCTTTAGCTGTGTCTGCATTGTTATTAATTATAATATCAACCACATTATTTGATATCAACCATTCAGTCTTACAACCCCTCGGGCACGGCGTGACTCATATTTGGGCTGCGTTTGTTAACGTGTGGCAACAACGTCGTCGAACGTCCTGCATTTGCCACTGCTGTGCTCGAGGGAATGAGATAAATCACCGAGCTTGGCTATTCCCTGGACAGTCGCACAATGGAGCAGAACTCAACTCTCTTCATTTGCAGGACACATTCGGTGGCGATGCGAGTCTATTGGCGGTTGGTGAGTGGGGCGGTGTGGGGCCTAAAGCAGAAATTATTTTTCGATTTAAAGCTTTCGTGACTGCAGGGATTCATATTCTTGGTTCTTTCGGTAAAGTCACGTAGAATGGAAATAATAAAATAATATAAATAATATAAATAAAACATAATAAAATAATTATTATATTAAAGCATGATTAAATAATTATTTTTTATGCTTTATTTTTATTACTTTTATTAGAACCAAGAACATAAATTATTTCTTGGGAGGAGGCTCCCCTCTCATTCTATAAAACACGAGTGAGATGACAGAAGGTATACAGATAAATATATATATGGTTGAGAAATATAGATGCGGTAAGATAAAATAAATTATGGGCACGAGAAGAGATGTAATGAGATGATAAAATAGAGATGCTGGCGAGATAGAGATGACAGAGCTCAGTAGGCTGTTTATGGTAATTCGCTTATGTTTATTGGGATTTACATTTTTCGCTGATGTTTTATTAATCCGGGGAACCTTTCGCTGCTTGGGGTCCTAAGCTTGTGCTTAGTTCACGCCGCCACTGCCGACGTGGGACCGTGGTCATACTCTCAGAGCAATCAGCAATTCGCACAGCTTCCTCGCGAGTAATAATTCACGTCGTGAATGAATGCACGCCTTCTTGAATGTGGTGTACAAACGATGTGCGTGTGAACACGCCATTCTATAGCGAAAGGAACACATGCTTCTCAATAGGCTATCACCCTTTATGTGTTGAACCAGGTGAAAAACCATATGTATGCATGTTGAACTTCTTTCGCACCGTACCTAGCCAACCGTGCTAATCGGAGGTGCGGTAGGCAGGACAACAAACTAAACACAAAACGCAGTTCTAAAGACGTGAGTTTGCAATCCAGTGTGCAAAAGTGCATCGCTCCACTGGCTCCCTAATATCGGAAGAGCGTTCCAGACGGCCGCAAATGCTGCGCATCTGAAAGCGCGCGATGCGGTGTGCGTTTTTGTTCGATGGCCTGCCAAAATCCGTTGCTGTGAGGATGACCGCAGTTTGCGTGATGGTTTATACTCCTTGACGAGATCAGCAAGGTATTGTTGTTCATTTGCTGCAAGACCGCTGTGTGCGTAATCAAGTGCGACCTAACGTGCTTCTCTTGTAAAGGAGATCTCGGTGAAAAGGACGGAACATTAATTTAAAGTCTTGTATCGAAGCTGTCGTGGCTGCAGGATTTCATACTCTTAGGTTCTTTCGATAAAGTCACGTAGATAGGAAAATAAATAAAGATTTATTACATAATACGAACACACAATAAATACATAATTTGAAAATATTTTTTACTTATTTCCCTATCTACGTGACTTTACCGAAAGAACCTAAGAGTATTAATTTAAAGTGTTTCACAATGCGTGTGCATTAACACATTCAGTCGAAGGTATATTAAGAATGTGTATACTATACCTACATTACAGACATTACTAAACAATTACAGATACATACAGTGTGATAATGACATACCATCATTTGTCAATCCATGTCTCCCCACGCCGTTTCGGCCATGGGGGTTTGTTTCACCATACTTCGCCGTGCTGTTTCACTGCGTATTGATGAAGGGGAGAGCCCAGGACCGGATCAGCGATCACTCGCTACTGATGTGAGACGTGGCAGTGGACTATGGCTCAGGGATTCTAGCGCTGTGAGCTAACCACAGCGACCACCACCCACCACGACACCCCCCCCCCCCCCACTCACCACAAACACTCACATGGAGCGACGTAAAGAACGTGTGTTCATTTAAAACATTGATTAATCAATTCACGAACACACACGAATTAATGACCGAAGGCGAATGCCCACTGATTGAGACCGACGAACCGCCTCGGCGTTGATTAATTACGAATTCGAATGCTGCACGATGCATGCCTCATTGCAAAAATGTATTTGTGGGTGAACACATGCGTGCGCCAAATCGCACATGGACGGATCTAACGCGAGCGCGCAATCGAATGAACGCGCAGAATGAACCGTGGGTGTGCGAACGAAATGCTGCGCTCCATCCCACAGCAGAATCACGCGGCGATGATTTACTGCCGCATGCCTTCTCGTTACTCCTCACACGCCCGCAGAGCACTTGCCACCATCCTCAGCCACGATCCCATCCACTGCTGGACGGAGGCCTCCTCCCCAAGCCCCTGTACACCTCTCGAGACGATCCGGCGATTCGATAATCCGCCGAGAAAGCTGCACGCGAGCTGATGTCATTGTCGCTTCATTCACTCGGTAGATTGTCCTCTCCGGACGAGTTCGGTGATGACAAAGATGACAATGGACACAACTGCACCCCTGACAGACTGCGTCGTGACCGACCTCAATCCCCACCCCCCACCCCCCTATGCAATTTCGCAGCAGCCGTAGCAGCAGCAGCAGCAACCAAAAAAAAACTTGTATCCTCCTGCAAGAGACATCACTGCCCAGCTTCCACGTCACGCCGTGGAGATCCAGCGAACGAGCGAGGGAGTGAGAGAGGGAGGGAGGAGAGGTAGGGGATGGGGGGGGTAGAGAAAGGCACAGAGGGAGAGAGATTAAGTGAAGGGAAATAAGATAATCCACCAGTCGCCAGCACCTTGCACTGGGGGTGTGTGTGTGTGGAGATGTCGTTTCTGCAGACGGAGCCGGGGAACGGCTCCCTCTTGGCGGTGTTCCCTTTAAACGGGTCCGTGGCAGGACCTGCTGAGAACACCTCCTCGGCCACGTGGCGCTCCAGGGCAGGTGACATCACCGTGGGCTCCCTGCTGTCGGTCATCGACCTCGTCACTCTGCTGGGCAACCTCGTGGTGTTCGTGTGCCCCGTGCTGGACAAGCGACTGCGGACGGTCACCTACATGTTCATCATGTCCCTGGCCACTGCCGACCTCCTGGTCGCCTGCCTGGTGATGCCCTTCAGGTGAGAGTGAGCGCGACGTTCGATCCCGCGTTGTGCAAACTGTGTACGTACCCGCTCGCATGCTGAACTTATTTCGCGCCGTACGTAGCCAACCCGTGTTGGAGGTGACGGGGGGGAGGCGGGGGCAAGAAATGGAACACAACAATAAGCGGTCACACGCGTGCACTGGGCAATGGGAGATGTTTGACTGTACCTGACAACGGATTGGTGTTTCTCCTTAGTTGACGTGCATGAACAACAACAAAAAAGTGTTCAGCTGCCCAGCGTGAGCCGTTCGCTGTAGGGCGACCAAGGTGACTGGACCTTGGTGGTGCTGGCTTCTCCCAGCTCTTACAATGCCGCTGCTGCTGTGCCGACCTTAATAGGTGCTTGCTGACAATGGTTCCTTAACTCAAGTATCGCTGTTCCCGAAAACATGTCCAGTCACAAGCGGAGACTGCGCCCTGTGCGGCAGGAGGGCACTTTCCGTCGGCGAATTTGACAAGTGTCAAGTACTGCAATGCGATGATGATGTCCTAGTTCATTGTTTTCGCGGTACAATATGACGCCAGTAATTTATTGCACCATGTCAATTCTCCCTGGGGCGTAACTGCTGGGAAGTCTACCCCGAAACGCTGACCACAGAGTCAGTCTGCATGCAGAGGTCCCAGTTTGCGGCTTTTCTCATGCTGTCGATCAAGTTTCATTCCACCAAGCACTCCCGTCCGATGTGCAGTAGACATTTAAGTGGTACTGTAACTGGATAGTTGGCAAGAGTATCCCTTCGGTGTTGCGATGTTTGGTGCCACCGTGCAAGATGTTGCGAAAGCCATCTGTGAAAGCTATCTGCATACTTCCAATTTATTATTTCAGCTTCGTTAATGCTTGGAAATTAATTGATGTAGTTGTATTAATAGAGTGTTACGGAATAGACGGTATATAACACACGTTGGTGCCGGTCCTGCCATTCTAAACGAATTATGAATGCCTTTTTAGTTGTCAGGTACAAGAATAGTACGCACACACGACATCGGTACAAAAAAAAATGTGTTATCACACTCGGGCAGACGAATGTTATTGCACGAGGATAGCAAGCGACGTGGTTTACGAGAAATTGCTTACCTACCGGGAGTGTCCAATTTTGGCCCTCATGAATCAAGCACCGCAATAACAAATGGACACGTGCAGCACGAATCAATAATCGGTGTAATTGCCCATACATTAACGTTCAACCTTTGACCTCGAATAGATTTTTTCTCTCCAGGATTTCCACCTCTGAGAAAAGTATATTGACAAAAAACCAATACTTTTACTGGATGGCAACCATGGGACATTGCTTTCAAAAGAGAGACGGGATGGTGAAATAAAGGCATGGGAGCAACAACTATTTAGCACGCATACCATGGTACAGCTGAGATTGGGAAATTTGGGGAAATATTTCCCACTTCACCAAGCTGTGGATTGAGATTGTTGATCGAGTGACGCACCCACCTCATGTAATTCCAAGTGCTGCATTTGCTGCACCAAACATAATCAATGTATGTATGTGTAGTGACATGGAATGGGTCACTATGGCGCATAGCACTGGTTGCTGGCAGAGAAAGGGGATCTGCAGTTGTAGCAGCCCTGTCTGACGGCAGGTCACGTGATAAGCCAGAGAGAGGGATGTGGGGCAAAGGTGATAGAGGGGGCACGGTAACCTTCTAGTAGGTTCTAGAAGGGGGGCATGGCCGAAGGCGGAGCGAGGCCACGCTGGGTGGATAAAAGGGGACCCCGAGCGAAGGTTCGGGGCTGTCGTTGGAGTGGAACCCGTCGTGCTGCTGGAAGTCTTCATCACCATCTTCACCTCCTCGGCGTTGTTAGTCAGGCAGCCTGTTAGCTGTCCTCACCATAGTGTAGTTGCTCCTTGTACCTGTGTAATATCGTTCACGACTCTTGACACCGGAGTTGGAGGCACACGGGTTTATTTGACACAGCACGTTCGTGGCATACAGCACTGGAGGGGGTATCGGCCCCCTCACCCGACTAGCTAAGGATACACGTCCTAGCTACTCCTAGCCTGCCTCTTAGTCCTCCACTAATGGGCTAGGGGAGGCTATCTGGCCCGACACTGGTAAGTCGGGCCCGGTACCCGGAGTCCCAGACCAGCTCTTACAAGAGCACCGGCTCTGGCTTCCGGGACCACGCCGCTGGCTCAGTCCTGTTCGGCCCTGATAAGGACATCGAACTAGGGGAGTCCAGGGCTCTATCTAAGACGTCTTCAGTCTTCTCTGGTTAGCTTTTAACATAACTCCCGAGCCCTTTGATACATCCCCTTTTATACCCAACCCCTCCCTGAGGGGTGGGGCCCCGGGGGATCATAACGTTCGAACCAGCCCCCCCCAGGGTGCCTGGCTCGGACGTCGTAGAGGGCACCTCCCCGTGCACTTACGTAGCCCCGCCCACTGTGTTTGTTTGCCATAGGCTGCCATGCATAACGGGCTCTCTCTCTAACACCCCTACACCTGTGAAGGCTATAATAGAGTGCCTCCTACTACTAGTGTCTCTGAGTGACTCACTACAGATGTATAACTTATTTTACACTGTACGTAGCCAACCATGCTAATCGGAGGTGCTGGAGAAGGACAAAAAATAATATTTAAAAGTGCATAGCTCCAGTGGCTTCCTCATATCGGAAGGAAGAGCGTTCCAGACGACCACGGAAGCGCATCTGAATGCGCACGATGCAGTGAACATCATTGTTCTATGTCCAGCCTATGCATAAACACGTGAATTAATGTTATACAGCAACGGTGCACGCGTGTAGTCTTACAGATGCATACGGGAAGTAATGCCTGCATGCAACTGCCAACTTCTAAAATTTGCAATACCCGTACACGTTTGTCTCTCAATCAGCGAGTGAAAAACATTTTTTACTTGACTTATCCCTTTTGAGCTCATCCAAATACGTTATCCAACTGAACTGTGTCACAGGCACTGTTTCAAATTTGACACTTAGAAGTAAATAAACAGTCCAGATAATACCATTTAAATATAATTGAAATGATATTTCAGACAATACAATAAAACAAATGAATATGATATGAAACATTTTACGAATATGAACATAAATAGGAAGTTTGTGTGTGTGTGTGTATAAACGATTTGTGATAAGCTTTTTACCCATGGTGGTGGTTACTGCCCGTGGTGGATATTGGTTACTTTTGCCATCCCAGGCAGTACTGACCAAACCCCTTTACTTATGGGCTATATAACCCAAACTCAAATTTTCTAAACTGCTAAAAAATAACGATATAAAATAAATCTCAGACGCACATTCAGTTAAACGATGTATGCACATATCTAGTATGTAAATAATAATTCAGCCACATATTTAACTGTACGGTGCAAAAGACGTTCAATATACATGCACAGTTGGTGACTTAGATAAGGCTGAATGAACCGTATGTAAAGAGAGGATCCTTAACATTTGTCAGCATGAATAATTGTAACTGACTGATGATGAGACACTAAAATATATCGAAACAAGTCCAGAATTTGCCTGTACTGAACTAATGCTGCTAAAATGATGCATTCTCAGAGAGTTGTTTGGGCATATGGGTTGTGTTTGAAATATTTGACCTTTTTTATATAGATATACATTCATATGACATAGTCCGCAAAAACACCCATTATGTATTATAAACACGACTGAGAGCAATCTAAATGCAATGTGATGGTTACGTGACGTGCAGTGAGTTTGGTAAAATGAAGTTGTGTGCCACACATTTAACAGTACACTCTTTAGTGTGCTGTGTGTATATTTAAAGCAAACATATAAATGGATTACTGGATTTACCGGCGAGTTCAATAACAATTTATTTTCAGCACTTGCAGAGAAAACTTCTATAAGTGTTGGATATTGAATTAATTTAATGAGGTCCCCAATGGTATTGTGTATGAATCATTAAATCTGTTCTGTCGATGAAAAACTTAATTTGGCTTTTTGTAATGTACTGTATAATTCTAAGTATATACAGTAGTGGAGTGTACCTGTAGGTGACCATTAAAAACTCGAAATATCACTCAAGTATAAAACACATTCCTGCGGAGGGAGCTGGTAGGAACGCTGGGTTGCTCGGTCAATGGCCAGGGTCAACGGCGGCGTGGTGTATTCCGCAAATATAGCCGACTGTGAGGGCGGGCACAAGCCGGCGTGAGTAGGTTAAACGTTGAGTTTTATAAGGGCACCACGGGGTGACCAGCCCCTCCCCACCCAGCCCCACCCCTCCCACCCCCACCCAGCCCCACTCTCCCCACCCAGCCCCTCCCCACCCAGCCCTTCCCCACCCTCGCCACCCAGCCTCTCCCCACCCTCCCCTTCCCACCCAGCCGCATCCTCCCCACCCAGCCCCTCCCCACCCTCCCCTCCCCATCCAGCCCCTCCCTCCGCCACCAAGCCCCTCCCTGCACGACGGACACAATAATCCCATGTGGGCTGGTGTAACCAGGAGGTTCCTACCAGTATCACTGCATACCTAAGCCATGATGGTGCTTGAAACCATTGGTCCGAAAATGACTTGTCAGTACCAACCAGGGTGGCAAATGCCAACAAGGAATTTCTCATAGCATTTTGTCTTTAAATCACACATATGTATGATAGCAAGGTCACTGTGGTAGCTTTTTCATTATAATATTTTTGCTAAAGGGTACAAAAGTATGTTCGATAGATAATACCATAAAAAAACAAATGTTATATGAAACATCTAAAAAAGTATGGAAATACATAGGAAGTGTGTGTATAAAACAGACAGCATTTCTCCTAAGCGTGCTGCCTATTGTAAATGCCCCCATGGTGGATATGTCACATACTGTACTGGTAGCTTTTTCCACTCCAAGTAGTACTGAACAACAACCCCTTTGGTGCATGGGCAATAAACAAAACTCTAAATATCTAATTTGCCTGTGACTAAACTGCAATAACTCTTACAAGTTAAAACATATATATATACATGTGTATGTATCATGCAAATAATAACACGGTCACATGGTGATCTCTGTCGAGGCGGTGACTTGAACAAGACTGAGAGCATTGTATATGCAACGTGGTGGTCACGTGACATGCAATCAAGGGGTGATGGGAGTCGTGTTTTCCTGATTTTCGTGTGCTTTTGTATTTACAATGTATGCCGGGTTTATCAGAGTTCAATAATAAGTTCTGTTGCACTTTGAGGGACGAAACTTCTCTAAGTGCTGGATATCGACTGTTTTTTTATGAGGCTTCCCAATGTTCTTGTGCATCTTCTATTAAATCTGTTTTGGTGACCGAAAATTTATCTCGTTGGAATGGACAATTAATTCCACAAACTACACGTACAGTGTACTTGTAAAGTGGAAATTAAAGACCTTGCCATTTATTCACACATATAAATCACTGAATGAATATGCAATAGCCCAATTTCCAAAATCTATAACTTTCCTGCTACAATACAAAAAACTAAACTCTCGTACTGACTAATTTTCAGCTTTGTAGATCTCCTTCATAGTGACAATACATCTTAACAGACTTGCAACAATTAAAAGGACATTGATATACAACTAAAAGGAAGGATGACCATGGTAAATAATAAAACTAACGTGGCAGCCAAGGGATGGAATACACCCACGAGTACTGTATGCCTCATTGAGGAGATGGAGTGATGAAATCAGCACGTGTGCAAGTGCAATGCGGAGTAATGCATCGCAGGATTATGAGAGATGGCAGCAGTTTGGGGAGGCTTCCATTGAGCAGCAATGGCATACGGCACATTAGACAAACGTGCATTGCAGGCGGCAGCTCTGGCACTTGGTTAACATCGCGAAGCGGACGCTCTGAGGTTCTATCAAATATTGATTTGCGATCTTCCGCCACGATGCATCAGCATCATTTACGAGGTTACAGGACGTTGGATGTTCGGACGGATCTTCTGCAAGGTGTGGATCTCCTTCGACGTGATGTTCTGCACCGCCTCCATCGTCACGCTCTGCTTCATCAGCCTCGACCGCTACTGCTCCGTCTCGGCGCCCCAACGCTATGTGCGCAGGATGTCCCGCCGACGGTCAGTGCACTCATCCGTTGTCTCACAATATGACCCTTGAGCTACACCATGCTTTCCCACCTGATGATGGACTTTAACAACTCTGGCACCCCCACCCCCCCCCTCTCAGCCAGTCTACATAACAAAGGCTCAGTCCTTTGTTATATACACCAACCGTCACCATAATAATAAAACAGGACCCTGCGGGGTGGGCTGGTAGGAATAATACTTAGTACCGGTACAGGGATATCGACCGGGTATAGAGGAGTTAAAGAAAAAATTACTGTATTCTAGTGTAACGTAATTAAAAGTGTTTGTTTTGACAAGAAACGCTGTGAGATTTAAAGACACCCCAACACCACCCCTCCCACCACCACCACCCCACCACCCCCCACCACCACCTTCTGCACTAGGCCTCGCGAAGCCTGCCGCACTAGGCCTCGCGAAGCCTGTCGCACTAGGCCACACGCCGTGTTTTTCGTGAACAATCAAGGCGATTAAATGTATCTCGTCTCTGTGTTAATAAATGTTTCTTGTCTCTGTGTTAAAAAAACGTGCTGCGTTTCAGGAAAGTATTTTATTTTAAATAAACGTGCTGCGTTTCATCTCTGTGTTAATAAGCATGCCGCACTAGGCCTCGCGAAGCCTGCAGCACTAGGCCTCGCGCCGTTCTTTTCGTGCAAAAAAATAAGGCGATTAAATGTATCTCGTCTGTGTTAATAAATGTTTCTTGTCTCTGTGTTAAAAAAACGTGCTGTGTTTCAGTAAAGTATTTTTTTTTTAATAAACGTGCTGCGTTTCATCTCTGTGTTCATAAGCCTGCCGCACTAGGCCTCGCGCCGTGCTTTTCGTGCACAATTAAGGCGATTAAATGTATCTCGTCTCTGTGTTAATAAATGTTTTTTTGTCTCTGTGTTAAAAACACGTGCTGCGTTTCAGTAAAGTAAATTTGAAGCGAAGTTTATTATTACACTTGTTAAGCCAGGAAAGCCCCACTGAGTCAAAAGGTTTTTGTAGGGTCCTGCCAAGTGTTTGCAGTAGGGGGCGATGTTGCTACACCAAATCGGACGATACGAAGGGAGAGATTGAGGCCGAGTTCTCGGCTTTAGGCCTAGCTGTAGGCTTTAGGGCGCTGTGAGTTAATTTTTAATTTAAATGTTTTAATGATTTATGTAAAAGCTTTAAATTTAAATGTTTCTATTTAAAAACATGAGGGAATGTAACATTGTTAAACATAACTCCCTTTCACACACGCGGGGGTACGATACGAAGGGAGAGTTTCAGGCCTAGTTCTAGGCTTTAGGCCTAGCTGTAGGCTTTAGGGCGCTGTGAGTTTTTTTTTATTTAATTTCAAAGTTTTAATTAAAAGCTATCTCAGGGAATAAGGGAATGTTACACGTGTCATGCCAAGTGTTTGCAGTAGGGGGCGATGTTGCTACCAGGATAGCGTTACTGAGTCTAAAGGTTTTTGTAGGGTCATGCCAAGTGTTTGCAGTAGGGGGCGATGTTGATACACGGACGGACGGACGGACAGTCGGACGGACGGACGGACGGACGGACACATTAATCTATTGGTGGTCTGGTCCACTTCGTTCCTACCAGTAAAAGGGGGTCTGTCCTGGCTCATTCCCCCCCTCAACCAGTATATATACGGGGTAGTATCTTTTGGAATCTCTCATTTACTTGATACAGCAAGCGTGCTGTGACGGTTCCACATGAAGACGGAAGCTTGTGTTGCCTCCGAAACGTCGTGATTTTTATTTTTTATTTTTATTTTATTTTACTTTTATTAATTTTAATTTTTTACCTACGTGACTTTACCGAAAAAACCTAAGAATATGATGATGGACGCTTGTGGTGCGCCCGAAACGTCGTCATTTATTTTATTTTATACCTACGTGACTTTACCGAAAGAACCAATGAGTATGGATTCCTGTAGTCACGAAAGCTTCAAATCAAGATTGTTTCACAATTCTTCAATGCTAGTGGCGACGGAACAGCCAATGCACCAGCTCCCCAATTACATCAGCACGATCAGATATATTAGTGCATAGGCATTGGCGGTCGTTCTGCATAGCTTTCTTGCCTGCTGTAGTGCCGAACCATACGCTGTTTCCCATGATCTCAGATTTTTGCACGATTTGAAGAAACTGAAGAAGCCCCCAGCACGTTGAGTGAAACGTTGAACATCGTACCGAACAACACGCGCATCAGAGAGTTATGTTCAGATGTCACTTCGGTGGGATGTTGTTGACTGGATGACTGAGAAATCTATACCATTTGTTACTCTGAATACAGATGTCTTTATACTTGCGCCACTAAAACTAGTGTGACGAACCGTTCCTTACTGGGGGTCGAATAGGACTTTCAGTTACCTTTGGCTGGCCCCAGATTAGTTGCCATGCCAAGATAGTATGCATTTACTGTGCTCAAAACAGCTTAAAAAACAACAGGTGACTGAACCCACTAAAATTAGAAACAGTGTTTGCCAGGAAAACAGATTCCTGCGGAGGGAGCTGGTAGGAACGTTGGGTTGCTCGGTCAATGGCCAGGGTCAACGGCGGCGTGGTGTATTCCGCAAATATGCCCGACTGTGAGGGCGGGCACAAGCCGGCGTGAGTAGGTTAAACGTTGAGTTTTATAAGGGCACCATGGGGTGACCAGCCCCTCCCCACCCAGCCCCACCCCTCCCACCCCCCCCCCCCTCTCCACCCAGCCCCTCCCCACCCAGCCCCTCCCCACCCTCCCCTACCCCTCCCATTTTGGATTCACGACGGACGGACGGACACAATAATCTCCTGTGGGCTGGTGTAACCAGGAAGTTCCTACCAGTAAAATATTCCCCTCTAGTACTCAATTAGTGCGGCTAAGATAGCTGCAACGATGGATAAATACGTAAATATAATTTACGGGCTGTTTCTAAATGGTAGTGCTCATGTATTAAATTTAACTTCTTTCGCACCATACGTAGCCGACCGTGCTAATCGGAGGTGCGGCGGAAGGACAACAAACTAAAAACACCAAAAGCAGTTTGAAAGACGTGATTTTTCAATCTATATTTTAAAGTGTATAGCTCCGGTGATTTCCTAATATCGGAAGGGCCATGCAATATCAAATTGAGTCTTGGGTCGTGTATGGCTTGCAGGTTCCCCACCCCTCGACTATAATGACGCTGGTGTTTAAGTTATTTTACACGACTGGCAGGATGCAGAGCAGCTTTTTCCCACCCTGCCCACGTGCAGCCTCACGTTAATGCAACTTGCTGCATGTTTACTTCATATCCTCGGCTCACCAGGCGCTGTCGATGTTATCTGCCTGCCAACACTTCCACTTGAGCTTATTACAGGCTGCAAAACTGAGTTGTCATGGATTAGCAATGCAGCTGAATTAATAAACGATACGAAAGCAGCTATAAAGATCCAAGGTCAAAATTCAAAGAAACTTTTTTTATTATTATAATTAGAGAACCCGTTTCTCTGCAATGGCATAAAACAGGGATTTGCTTAGAGTTCCAATGCCAAATATAATTTTTTTAAATCAAAATATTATAAACATTTGAGATGTAAAATATCTATAAGCAGTGCCTGTCCACTCTCTATCCCATAATAACCTCCCCCCTGATGATCATAAGGTTTATCTCACCTATAGTGCTTGAGTCTAAGCATGTCAGCTGTCAACAGCCAATGTCGCAGATGACCAGATTACAAAATCAATTACTGAGTTCATTTGGAGTGTTTCCCTTTTACCTCTACTCAAAAGCTATTTTAAAATTATTTTCTTATCTTACACAAACACTTCCTGGCTAAAAGCCAAGGTCACAGATGTTGCACCTCAAATAAACCCGATGAGCAATGCGAGCATTATTGCGGTGGCTAAGTCAGAGATTTTTTCGTGACATTACATGAATGAAAAAAAATAAAAATAGCTCAATGGCTTTGTGACTAAGCGGATGGTCAATAGACACTTAAATAACACCATTAATATACAACCTTTTGTCAAATCACTGCTGATTAAAGGCCTTCTCACGTGGTGTCAGTCATGGGGGTTGTTTAATCATCTTTAGCACAGTGCTCTGTGTGAGTTCTTGAAAGGGGGCCCACAGATACAATTAAGTAGTTTAGATTTTAAATCATTCCACTTATGCCTGACAAAAGAAATAGGATACAAATTGTCACATGTGAGGCCTGTATTAAGAAGCGGAAGCATTAAGACCGGGACTGTGTGACAATTCTTCATTTTTATATAATCAATGAAACCTACATTGATCATGGTAAAGGTATGTCAAATTCCGTTGTCAGGAATATTCTCTAATGAGATGGTTACACCCACATAGAGAATCCTTGCAAACGAATTTCCTTCACTACACTCCAACCACCATTTATCTGCCACTGACTGTTGACCTCATAATAAATTACAATAAGTCCTTGCTTTAAGCCTGGGAGTAGGGAAAAAACTATAACACAAAAGGATTGATATGACCCGAGATTTCATTTCATATGGCCTGCTACATTGAAATTTCCTGGACACGATACATATCTGTTACTACAGGCATCTTAGTTGCACTATTCTGGTATAAGAGCTGAAGATTTTCAACCTAATAACATTTCAGTACACTCAATTACTTCTGTTACCTCAAGAGCCTCTTGCAGTTACAGAGGAGGGTGAGATATGTGTGTAAACGTGTGTCCTTGCAAAGATATTTGAAAGTCCTTATCAGCCCTCGGGTAAGGAAAAGGTTCCCCAATCAATGCTTAAAGCATTGTCCGGAGTCTTCTTGTTGCATTCTGAATGTGTCGCTTTGTGTGTGTTCTCTCAGGTGCGTAGCCATGACCGCCGCCATCTGGGTCTACTCCTCACTCATCTCCTTCCTGCCTGTCATGCGCGGCTGGAACGAGATTCCCGGCCTGGACTTCGACTCGAGCCGCGAGTGCGTGTTTGTCACAAACCGCACCTTCGCCGTCGTGGCCTCGGCTCTCGCCTTCTACATCCCCTTCCTCGTCATGTGCACCATGTACTTCTTCATCTACCGAGCTTCCAGGCTCAAGGCGGCACGCATCATGTCGCAGACGCTGGACATCCACTACCACCCCAAGAGCAGGCGTCCCAATAACCTGCAGCTCGAGCACAAGGCCACGCGCACCATGAGCATCATCATCTCGGCGTTCGTCCTGTGCTGGCTGCCCTACTTCTTCTTCAACGTCTTCATTGGCTTCTACTCGAACAACGAAGACTCTGCACACATCGTGCAAATGGCGTTCAAGGTGATTACCTGGCTGGGCTACTGCAACTCGGCCATCAACCCGATGCTCTACGCATTCCTCAACCGTGACTTCCAGCACGCCCTGCGGAAGGTTTTCATCTGCCGCCGACTACGCTCCAAGGTGGACATTGGCGAGGACATGGTCTCCATCGTCACGTACTCAAAAACCGCACTGGAGGCAGACAATGCTGCTGCTGCCAAAGGAATGACCATCATTAAGCAGAAGCAGACGTTGTGATTCAAAGGTGTACTTCTGCTTCTAAAAAGCAGCTTACGCAAGCATAAAGCACATAAGTTAAGCCTGCTTCGATTACAATGATTCCATCAATCCGAATTCTCTGCGAAGGTCAACTGAACAAAACTTTTACTGGTGTTTTGTCCATAATCATTTTAATGCAATTAACAATTCCGTTTACTCATAGACCATGACTGCAATGACGACATTTATCAGTAAAGCCAAACTGTACATATGGAACTATGGTGTTCATTTTGGAAACCTGATTTATCTGGACACTGGAAAGTATGGGTTATTCATATTTCTTATTCAAGACAATCCATTGGTTGCTCGACATTTAAAGTTTAACTAAATGAGTAACAATGTATCACGTCATTGTGGCTTTTGTGGTTGTTTTATGGAACCATATATATAAATACTGTAAATGATGTGCAATATGTCTCATGTTACGTGAATCAATTGTCCATTATGTGATGTACTTTTAAAATTGTGTCACCTAAAAAAATGCACAAATTAAAAAAGTAGTCAAGAATTTGAAGGTGATTGCTTCGCTAAATGGTGGAACAGGATCAGATGTCTGGATGCTAATAATGTATAACATACAGTATATCAACATTGTACTTATAGCAGCACTTGTGAAATATTGCATCTCAAATTGAAGAGATTGTGCAATAATGGTGCAAATAGACACTTGAAGCTGTACACAATTCAATACGTAATACATACAATACATCGTTTAAAATTGTACCCATAATTGCATACAACTTCATGAGAAGTACATTTGAAGTGACATTTTAAGCAAATTTTATTTTTTGTGGCAGATTTTTATTTTTGTGGCTCAACGACAAATCATCCTTTGGGCACCAAATGCCAACATTTTGAATATAAAAAAAAAATTAAACTTGAAATTAAAAGTAAATATTTGTTGTAAAAATGTTGAGCAGCCTAATTATCCAGTTCAAATATTGCTTTGACATAAAAAAACAATCAAAACTTCAACATAAAAATATAGCTTGGAAAACAATGAAAATTCACAAACGGTGTCTGCCGAATGTCAACAAGGTGGCACAAATGTTGGCATTGGAAACATCTGGCAGAATCCAACAGATGGAACAGCCACAGGTCAAGCTATTAAAATCCGAATACCTTTTGTTGAAGCCCATGTGGACTGCCAAGCTGGAAAACCAATTTTCAGAAAGGTCTACTGAGACTTGAGCCATGTCAGGATTTTTAAGGTTCGTAGCTGCAAAAGTGCTGAGTTATTATTTTCAAGCACAGGTTGTTTGTGGTAAATACAGTTTTGCTGTAATGGTAATGGGTAAAATAATGTACGACTTTTAAAAATGACGGTAAAATTACCATTCAAATTACCCACAGGTATGTTTTTTGTGTCCACTAATGCTAATATTTGTTACAAGGTATCTTCGGGGATGGATACATAACATATCTAAAATAAATAATCCTATGACCAAATCACCTGGAATGCACCTGCTCCTGTCAGATTGGGAAGCTAAGCGAGTTGAGCCTAGAGCTTTGCTGGGCAGGCACCAGGCATGAGACATGTCGTTTTATGGAAGCATTGAGGCCAGTGGAGAATAATCCATAGTTGTAATTTACTATGCCCCGGCGTCTATGTTACCCTCGTTTACCAACCCACACCGACTATCGTAGTCGAGTGTGGTCAACTAATCATCATTACCTGCAAGGCGTAGGGGAGGCCCTTATACAGAAATTGATTGACAAAAGTGCTATATATGTACATTCCATGCAATATTTGTTATACAATCACAGTTCATGAGACGGCTGAGAGACAATGTTATGAACATGGCATCTTAACGATGTTTGCTACCGATAGTGAAACAATTATACAATACAGAATCCAATACATTTCTGAAACGGCAGTGCATATGAAAAAGAGAGAACAATACTGCTGGGCAGTGTTGTGGAGAATGTCTTTCCCTTATCCATCATTTAAAACACATGTTAAGTTTCACAGGCAAAATCGAGCCCTGTTTAGTTTCCAATTATAACTCTGTTTTCTCTTTGGCAATGGCTTAAAGAAAAGGTTTTAAATGTTTGCTGAGGTGAGTCATAGCACTGGAAATCATATGAAGAGTCATATCAATGTTGAGCCCCAATGCCCTTTTGAGTTTCACTGAACCTGCACTAAAATAATACTATCCTCCAGCCCACAGCTTGCCTCAATTCCCTAGTAACAACATGCATGTTGCCTCTGAGTCACTGGGGTATATTAAAATAGGGCCAAGTTGAACAATCACAACCCATATATGGTGTCCGTTCCATCTGTTATGAAGCCTTCGCATATACGGGTTCTTATTCAGACCCGAGATAAATATGATGAGCTGTTTACAAAGTGAAATACGGTTATGCATAAATTTAGAAAACGCATTTTACTCAAAATCTGGCTTGTAAGTGGCAGGCTTGTAAGTGGCATATTCGCCACAAATCTGAAGTGGTAGCACTTAGCGTTGTATTTTTTCTTATAAAAGAGGTATGCCAATGATCAATTTAGTGTGAAAGAAACGATCTCGGAAGCGATATTGGTGATAATGATTTTTATTTTGTAATCTGGCAGCAAACATTTGTTTTTCATTATATAAGTGGCGCCTTGTTTCATGAATTGCAGATGAGCAGGCTTTTCCACTTTCAAAGCGCATTTACTTGTGATGTGCAGTTGGAACAACGTTGTTCTCGTAATTAGGGTAAAATACATTCTGATTGCAAGTCAGTGTGTGCTGTGATGTACAGATTCGTTCTCTATGGATTTACATGCCTTTGATACATATGACATTCGTGGAGAACACATGCATTTTAAATATTCCACGTGTATGTTTAACAAATTATATTCTGTTCTATTTCAAAGAAATAAAATGTGACAAAATATATTGTTTTCCTCTTTTACAAGTCCAAAAAAACGTGATCAGTCATGTGATTTTAAATTAATGTTTATTGCCCATCATGGGTTCCAATTACTGTAAATGTACATGGTATTATTTGCACTTTAACCATGTAAGGACCTATTTATAAAAATTATCTGTTATCCCATGGAGACATGGAGGGCTGCATTTATGCTGCAGTATAAGGGTCAGCAAGTATTTTGTAGGTAATTTAAAATATACATTTTCCCATCGGATTTGTAGCTTGTTTTACCTTATGCTATTTTATTCATGTTGCAGGAAGTCTATTTAAATAAATCACCGTTTATAAACATGTCACCACAAAATAAGGTTTGATGGATAAGAATAAAACATATACATATGAACCTTATGGCGGTAATTTTTAGTCTGGTGATTGTCGGCAGTCGACTCATCTCGACGAGCTGTACACGATGCCCTATTCAAAGTAGAATTTTTTAATAACGGATTTTTTATGCTGTTTGGCATTTCGACATCGCGGAGGAGCACTGATTTCGGATTGATTTGGTACCCCAGTCGTGAAGTTAAATACACCCCTGGAAAGAATAGTGTCCCAGAAATAGAATATTTAATTGCCTCGGCCATTTTGTATTATTTGGTACCCCGGGGTATCCGCCATAAGGGCCATATATAAACTTTACCTTGTAAAACCCTTAACGAGTAAAAACTGTGTGGGAGAGTGGTAGCGCAGTGTTTCGTACACTGAGCTATGAACCCAATGACCTGGGTTTAATTTGAGAGCCATGAAAAACATACATATGGCATGGTAACCGAACCTATCTTAGGTCCAATTTACCAACCCATCCAGATGTGGACTGACTAAGGGCTGTGCTTTTCACTACGTTGCACACGATGTAAAGTCAAAAATATTTCTTTGGCTGATTATAATTCTACAACAGAAAAACAGCCCCAATATAATCATAACATATCGTAATTATTCGCATTTTAGACATTAATATATTGATTCAAATTATCAAAAGAGTGATGAATACGAAACACATTTTAGATATTCTGACAGAAGAGTACATGTAAAAACTCCAACACTATTTCGTTGCCAAAGCAAAACGTTTCTGATAAGCGCCTCCTGTAGTTCATGGGCCGAGCAGATAGCACCCACCTATGGGAGAAAATCTGAAATAGTACCGATTTATTTATTTATACGTCTAACAACAATTAATTACTTGGTTACCCACTCATAATAAACGGTTGATACCAAATTCACTGTTTTTGGCCACATTAAGAAATTGGAACCACTAGAATTATATGCCATCTGAGCTGGTTCCGACAAGGGAAATATCTCGTCTGTACTTATGGCCTATTAGTTAACTTTTCACTGCAAGACTTCTGCTCACAATATACTTGAACTGATATATGTTAAGCCTTTCTGACTAATGTCGAAAGCGTCATGGAATGTGCTCTGTATTTCCCCTTCTGTCTGAAAATGGGGAGGACGACAACTTGTCTAAAGGTGATCCCATAGGAATTAAATGTAATTAAAAAGTTGGGTTACTTGTGTGGACTTACCCAACAGAAAATTGGCAAAATTGATCCAGCGGATGCCCCAGAAATTGACAACAAATCCGGCGTGACGAAGATTAGCCTTGCCGGCCAGGCCACGTGTGACGTAACCTCCCCTCCTCACGTCACTGTCTACTTTGTTATCTCATCGTGTGGCTTGAAATGCAAACGATCTCATCACGAATTAAATACCCTCTGAAAACAAATGCATTGGTAAGCGTTGGAGAATCCATGTGTATACATGCAATTTTTTCTTGTTCCATTTTGCCAACCACTTATCCATTTCTTTTCACATTATCTATTCAGTCGTGAAAACCCAATCATTGGATTGGACAAATCCATCGACCTACTGTGTTGACATCTGATAGAAGCACTATACTACGTGTATGGATGATCAAACAAAAGTCAATTACTTGATGTGCATGTTAACCATTGCACCGATGCCAACGTGAAGGAAATAAAAGGATAGCCTATTTCACATCGGTTGATTTGCCATTTTACGACCAAAACCCCCCACTGAGAACATCACAGGCACCATTTTTGCAAAAGTTCAATTCATAGCAGCAGATGTGCATCCCTGTTTGCTGGGCACTTGGGATCAGGAGGCATCAAGAATTTATGGCTAACCTTTTGGAAGAGTGTCTGAGCTTATCAAAAACAGGACGGCGTTATTGCCTGGGAGCAACCAGTACATAGCAGCCATGTGGTGAAATGTCAACTATTTTGTGAGCCGGGCCAGTTGTGATTTCTCACGTAAACAATTTGATGTCAGTATCACTTAGTTACGAATTTGTTTAGTTCAAAATGCTTAGTTCAGCAATGACCTTTGTACATTTCCCTGCATTATGCAGACAGATTTAACATTAGATATGTTTTCACAAAATGCCTTTCAGACCATCGACAATAAACTGTAATGCTGTATATGATCAAAGAAGAAACATTTTGGAGGAAAACATGCAATGTAAGTGTACAAAGATGACACAATTTGCTTATTATTATATAGTGTACGTTTTGTTGATTCTCATAACCAAATACAGGGGCTTCAAAATGATGTTTTTAACACTTCTGAGAATTTGCAACAATACCACAAGAACTGTGCCTTCGGGCTCTGGAGACCACCTGGAGAAAATTCCAGGCCACGTGTTGACAATGATGGTGAACAAATGGAGACTCTGACTTTTTAAAGCTGTTAACATTCATTTATTATTATGTCACAGTGTATTATCACCCGTTCTTTTTACATTAAAAACGATAGTCCCATATAAATGTTAAAATTGTTTTGAAGCACCCTGTATAATCATGGGTGGTCCAACCAAAATAAAGCCCAATTCTTTTTTTAAACGACAATATAATCAGCAACCATGATCAATCCACTGCTGAATGAAGGGCTCCTAGAAGCCAATACCGTCTCTCAGGTTTGTGATGCAATATTCACATAGCAACTACAAAAGAGCTACTTTCATTGCCTCATCTCCACAGTGATATCAAGCATCTTCCTTTCTTAAAAACGAAACTATTTTTTATTTTACCAGATAAGGACCCCTGAGCTATAGAGCTCTTTTTCAGAAGCGACCTGGTCACAAATTAGAGCTCAATGAAGTGACTTGTTACGTAGAAACTTATAACAGCTAAATACTTGAAACCCATATTTCTACATGTGGAGGGAAAAACCGGAGGACCTGGAGAAAAATACACGTGACCATGTGAAGAACATACAAACTCCAAATACATAGGCATCGTTGTTCGTCTAGATCACCAGACATCATCACTTCTAGCAACAAACATGTCCTGCCCAAGCTCCACATACTTTTCTTTCGGGTAAATGTGGTGACCTCTCACGTGTATATATTCTCTCGTCCATCCATTTCTCTTTCTCTCTCAGTGTCATTCCAAGCATGCACCTCCCCAAGCTTCTTTGCAATTTTTTTTTATCGAACTTGATCTACTTCTTTCACACTGTAGGTAGCCAACCGTGATTATCAGAGGTGCGATATTGAAAAGCAACATTCCAAAGGGCCTAAACGAGAGCCATTTTTAACGACCTAGAAAATGGAACAAGCCACCCATAGACACACTTATATGAATAATAAACGTTGACCCGTTTCCACCTCAGAGTGAAAAACGATAGTGTTGTGCCTATGGACAAATACAGGGTAAGAGACAAAGTAATTACAATGGTTCAAATGAGGCAACCACTGACAATACCATAACTAGATGGTGCATACGGGAAATAGCACTCATAATTGGTGGACCTTTAATAACCATGCATTCTGTGCATAGCTGAATTCTAATTAGCATTCTAACTGTGTATGCTGAACTGCATGTTGTGGAGGAGTGGTGACAGTGGTTCGTAAGCTACAAACCACGATGCTGTGAGCACAGATGCTTAAAAGTGGACTCCCGACCGTGGCGAACATCAGAGACGAGCAAAATCCGAGCCGCAGTCAATAGGCTCCAATCGCACACAGTGAAAGTGAACGCTGTGCAAGAATTCAAAAAACAGCACGCTTCAGATAGCAGTGGGTTTGAGAAGCGGAGGTGATGTGGTTGTGTGAAGGACAAGCTTGCCCATTACCAACAGTGTGATGGTACACTCGTAACAGCGGTATTCTGTGGACAATGATTTATTTTTTTGCAGAAGTACAATCCTGAGAGTTTCTGATGAACCCGTATACACCTCGGCAGCGTGCAGGAATAGTTGAAATTTATTTCGGAAATAATTCTTCAATTATTTCAACACGGAGAGACTATCGCAGATATTTAAGACCTGAACGGCTCCAACTACGCACAGTATTGAGGCCTCGATTTCGGGAATCAGAAACAACGGTGGGACGCAACGCGTGTTGGCAAATCTCAAAGCAGTTGACCCCCGACTTCTATTGAGCGAGTAAGGGAGCGTGTCAATGAGGACCCCGAAACTTCGACGAGGAGACGCTGCTCCGCTCAATTGGGGATGGCACGACGGTTTTATCTACGCTGCCAAGCTTGGTGGTGTTCATTCAGACGCTGTCTTTCCGACAGACCTGGTCTTCACCTGAGGACGGCTGCTTGCATTGTGGCCGAAACGTCGTGAGAAGTGTATTATTTTATTATGTTTTATTTTTATTATTTTATTATCTCCCTTCTACGTGACTTTACCGAAAGAACCAAGAAGACTTGGTACAGGACTTGCATCTTTTTTCCAGATACTATTCAGCTGGTGCAATAATTGTAGCCCAGAGACCATCAAAGCCTCCGAGAGAACTCCTGTGCTTTCATTGAACTTGCAGACCAAAGCGATGCTTTCATTAGAAATTTTATTACGTCAGATAAAGCTAATTTTCACCTTATCCGACTTCGTCAAACAAAAAAATAGCAGATTCTGGGGTTGATCCACAATTATATCGAATCTCCATATTTTTTTTTTATTAATTCCATCATTCAGAGTTCGTGCTTTTATTTCAT